TAGTATATCGTTTATACAGCAATTTTTTGCAAAAAAACTAATTTTTCGGAAAAAAACCGAAATTTTTCTGGTTTTTTTCCAGCAATTTGAAAAAAGCAGTTTTTTTAAAACTCATGTGTGACGTATGCTTGATGCCTACGCAGTCTACCACCAGACGAGCTTACCCTTGTATGAAAATCCGTTGTTATATTTAATACGAGTATTTGTGCCTGCCCTTATCATTGTCTTCCTACCTGCTCGATGTACAACAGTGATGAAAGTAAGCATATAATCACACACGGCCTGTCAGTTTAATTTCTTTTTAGTGACTTCATTCATCACTTTTGCATACTAAATATCGCTTGTTTCATATTATTTCATTAGATATAAACGTAGTTTTAATATTTCATCCAAATTATGCAAAATATTTATGATTTTGGGTGAGTCCTGGTGAGGCATCCCAAATTTTCGGCACTTTACTAAAGATTCACCTTAAAGCTCGCAACGCTCTTAAAATCATTTCATCTTTGTTGTTTATTAAATATTAAACAAGGACAAATAATATTTGCGAGCGTTGCGAGCATTAAATGGAACGCAGCCATTATAGTGTCCACCGTCAACGCGGAGTTCGTGGCTGGCTAGGCAGGAGTCTTAACCCTATAGATATACACACTGGGGTCCCCGGGATCTCAGCAAAACTTCCTCGATTGTGGTATTTCTAAAATTGGAAGGGGAGGGGTTTGGGATATTGACGTAAAATAAGTTTGGAATATCCTCAGTAGGAAGACGTGTTGACGCGCGGTAATTGTTCAACAACCGAGCAGTGAACAGTTGAAGTGTGAGCGTGGGGTCCCCGGGATTGTTTGCAGTTTTGTTAAAAAATTAAAATACCGGATCGCCAAATTTTTTTTTGTTACTATTTCAAGTATGCCCTTTCAGAAATTCCAAGGATTTTTCAAATCGGTCTATAAACAAAAAAGATATGATTTTTTGAAAAGGTGCTAAATCGAGATTTTTTCACGCGTTTGTGAACTTTCGTTTCTCTTTGAATCCGTATATCTTGGAGCTCCTCAATTCTAACGACTTTTAAACATTATGGGCTTGTTCCTTGGTAGATTCTCTATCAATTGAAAAAAAAATTAATTGAAATACATTTTTACTAGAGTTACAGTAATAAATATGGATGGGGTCCCCGGGACCTCAGTGTGTATACAACGTCGTAAAAAAAAACAGTATGTATACCTAGGATTAATTATCGCAAGTGTAAATCAATCACGATAACGGTATACCAGCTAGTTCTTGGAAACATTAAGCGTAGCCGACGATGCGATTGTAATTTACCTTGACTTTCTCCGGATTGGCGCCCGATATGTCTTGCTTATCATCTTCCACGGTGGTGGGTCGCCGCGACTCGGGCTCGCAGTATACAGGCTGCTCCAGCTGCTGCCTCCTGGAAAACAAGCGAGTCATGAAAGTATTAGTATAGCGAGTCTTCCCACAGTTCTCCCGTAAACGGATCATCAAGACTAGTAGAAGACGTAGACGCGAATATTATTGTTACGGCGACTAGACATGATGACTGGCGTCTCGAGGCAATCTTAACGTTCACGTCGGCTCATAAATTCTCATATTTCATATTGGATGGCGCGGCACGAGGCGTCACATGGATATCCGGCTGACTAATGTTTACTTATTGTTTGTATGCCAACGGACAAGATACAACAATGGAAAGGCAATATATTGATACGATTGATGCTTCGCTATTGTTGTACTTTGTCTGAATTATTACAATGATAACAATCAATGTAATGTTTTTAATATACCAAATAAAAACTATATATATACAACTATACGTATATAGCCGGGCCATAACTTCTATTCATAAGAAAAACATATTTATTTCGTAATTAAAAGTAACGTAAAGCTATAATTACTCCTTTTTTTTCATTTATAAAATTGCATGTAAATTCAATTTTCAACATCAATGTATAAAATTATTTATACATTTTTGTTATGTGATGCAGTCGTATTTTAATAATAGTCCAAATATATATCGCAAATATGTACTTAACATATGATATAGTCTGACATTCCTGACTGTTAAAAAAAAAACTGCTTTTTTCAAATTGCTGGAAAAAACCAAAAAAAATTATTTTTGCGAAAAATTTATAGTTTTAAAACAACTGTTTTTTTCAAATTGCTAGAAAAAACCAGAAAAATTTCGGTTTTTTCTGAAAAATTGGTTTTTTGCGAAAAATTGCTATGTAAACGATATACTACCTAATTTTTTATATTTTTCATTATATTAAATATTAATTGAAATTCAGAAAGTAAAATATAAGTGGCTTTATGTAATTTATTTTAATTTGTTCGTTAAAATGCGTAAATTTTTTGTTTAAATTAGATATTAGCTTATAACTCTTATAAGTTATAACTCTTGTATTTTATAGTAGTATTAAAATAAGACACCTCGAATAAACGCTGGAATTAATGAGTTAATTTTTGTTTACATTTAAATATTATATTCCTTGAGGTGAGGATTATTTATTAAATAAACTGTTTTAGGAAACGCAATCTTAACAACTAGTGTAAAGATTAATTTAAGTTAATGTTTATATTAAGTATTTTTAAAGAGTTTTAGCTGTTAATAATTGTCAAGAGCCATACATTTTATTTGAAAAATGCATTAATTCTGTTTTTTATTTATTCTTGTGTAATTTGCTTTTTATTTATTTTGTATTTAAAATTATCAGCAATAAATATATGCTTGTTATAAAATTTTAAAATTTTGAAAAGTGTATCAAAGTGTTGCAAATGTGAAATGTGATAGGTTTCTACGAATGTATGTATATGTGAAATTTTCCAGTGAATTTTTCTATTCCTTGGAAAAGAAATCGAAAAAATCCGCGGAAAAATTGAAAAAGAAAAACCGGTTTTCTCTCCAGTCTTTAAAACTATATTCCTGACTCTGGTGTCAAAAGTCAGCCTTTGTGTAACGTGCCAGAACAGCAAAAAATGTGAAAAATATCTATATTATTACATCGATAGATAATTATCGGTACTAATTGAGGAAAAATCTCAATTTCTGTTGACATGCTGTCAATCTTTTCCGGAAAAAAATTTCCCGACGGTCAGCTTATTTCCTGGTCAAGCTTATTTCCTGGAGTGCATAAGGTTAAACGCGTCGGTGGAAAAATTCCGCGAAGGAAGGCGCGGGAGATATTAGCTGTTTCGAGAACACGTTCTCTGTGCGCGGCGCGCGATCCCATAAAGTAAAGTGCATCATTACCGGTTGTATATTAAGAAATAGGCATATTAACATATTTCTGCGCGGAGGCGCATAATAACTTGCCCGTACGTAAGTTATACGATATTATTACAAGACACACACACACACACTCTCTCTCTCTCTCTCTCTCTCTCTCTCTTTTATTCTCTTTCTCCTCTCGCCTCCTTTGTGGGGCCCGTAATGATATTGCGGTGACGCGTGAATAAATTTTAAAGTGAAGCACTTTGTGGGCAGACTCGATCTCGCAGATGGAAAATCTACGGTAAACAACGCGTGTTAAAATAACAAAGGTGAAATATCATAAAGGATGCACGAGAGATCCTTATATCTCGCATATTTTTTTCTATATTTATACAGAATGTTTCCGGAATTTGGTGATAAACTTAAAAGTTAAAAAATTCTCGTAAAATTGAATCACTTTTAAATAATGCATGCTCGGCATTTCTTTAAGACGTTGAACATCAATTTTAAACATTGGTTACATGTAATATAATAGTGAGGCTAGAGGACGTCGATTTTAAACACTTCTTGCGATAAAAAATTAAATCAAATTCCAAAACATGATTTTTTTCATCCTAATCTAATCTTATAGAAATTAAGCGGCATTCAAATAAGGCTAAATGTCTAGCGCCTTTAAGGGGACGTTGGTGGATAAACAATTTACAAAAGCTGTTCAATTTGACCATTAGATTTATTAATTTTTTTCAGTTTGTAATAAGAGAAACACTATATACATCTTTTTGCTGCTAATATTCCAGGTATTATCGAACGAGTTAATCGACTCATTTTGTGATTTTTTGATAGAAAAATGACAGCTATCATATTTTTGAATCAAACATAATAATTGTTTTAAGATTATTAACGATTGCACTTATTGTACTAAAAAAAATTAATTAATGTCAAGCGAGTCGGTCCTACATTCCGAAATTTTATGCTAAAGATTTCCATGCACAACGGTGAAAAGTCGCCGAACTTAACGATCTCTCGAGAGAAGGAAAAATAATCCCGGATTCATTAGAAAATACCCGGTTGAAAGGCAGCGTGCAATTTCCTGAAATACTCTGAAATATAAATTCTAATAAGGTACCGGGGGCCCTGTCGAATCGAGCCCCGAGTATCTACTTGGAATGCTCTTTTCTGCATAACTGCCAGCTCTGACTGCGAGACGAGAATTTGCATCAGGAGCGTACTTAGTTTCTTTTTCTTTTCTGCTTCTATGTAAAGAAAACGTCAGAACAAAAATATAAAGGGAAAAAAATGTTTCCAACTAGTGCTCACATTTAGATATTAATCTAGATAATTTAGATAAATATAAATCTACGGATTTGCAGATTAGTTAGTAACTAGATCAGAAGCAAACAAAAAAAAAGATTTGTTACATGTGTATACAATTATTTATTAAGGTGTTCAGTTAATTAAAAATTTAAATCTGTTTTATGCATCAAAATGTCTGCATTATAATAAAATCTATTTTTAATTTCCAATTTCGCTGAAAATCTGTCATTTCTCAGTTTTAATTACATTGTTAAAATTGTATAAAAATAAACTTTCTTTGAGCGCAAGAGTTTCTTATAGCTTTTTGAGTGCTGAATCCCGAATTTGGTGAATGAATTTATCTAATTGTTCTAGCACGTTACAATTTTGAGAAATTTGCGATTAAAAATGCAAAAAATGTACTTTTACATATTTTGTTACACATATCTACGTGTAACATGTTGAAGAAATCTTATTGCAATCAAATTTTATATAAAATATATAGTAATATAAAATATATAGAAGTAACTTCAATTTTCTTTAATAAGCGTTTGTTATGTCAATTATGTTTAGAAAGATTATTTATTATTAATATAGAATTTTTTTACATCAAAGTTGTGACTTTATATAGATCATATATAGATCATTGTAATCAAATATTCTTTAGTTATGTTATTCAATCTTAAGGCGATGTTGACAAGACGAAATTACCGTTGCAGTTATATGAATATCTCCGAATTGACGAAATTAAAAATTCTTTCACAAAATTGAAATAGAATGACATAAAATTGTGATGTGAGACAAATTTGTAGTAAAATTGAAAAAATTAAAAAATTACATTTTTCGTACAAATTACATTTGTCGTACAGCTGTCTCATTTGACGTAAATATTTCAGTGTAAAAGTTCTGTAGCTCATATGTACAAAATGCGTACATCCCAAACCACGGATTACACGAACGAATAATATAAAGTCTTTTGAGCTACGATTGAAAACGTAGAAAAAAAAGATATTTCCTCAACTGCAATTTATGGTAATTCATATGCTTAGCTAAGATACAAAACGGTGAACGCAGAATATAAATTGTGTCTTAGCAGTAAGTGCCGGATTTTGCAAAAAATGGCGCTTCAATATGTTATAGATAAGAACAAATGTACGCATTTGAATGAAACAGAACAATATTGTAAGTTGTTTTAAAAATACCGCTGCAATTGAAAAGTATTTTATCGATCTTGTGCGAGTTCGGCCGACCTGTCAGCATCGCCTTAAGAGTTTTTCAGACCGCTGAAGACTAATCTGTTAATTCAATTTAAATTGTATGAAAAATCTCGACATATACGTATAAATTATTTAAGAACATTTTTAAATTTTGGTATCCGTCACACAGAAAGAAATATTTCTTCAGATTTAACAAATTTCAAATACTTATTTGTTTAAAAAAAATCATGTTTTTCCTGCCAAATAATTTAGTAAAATGCAACAAAATTACAAAATTTGTATTCTACAAAACGTTTTATTAAAAATTACATTGTCCCAAATAAAATAAATGTAAACAAATAGAAATACTGAATGTAAAGAGATATTTTTTTGTGTGCATATTAATTCTACCATTTTTAATTTATCAACTCTGATATCAGATTAATATTTCAACTTAAAAAGCCCTTAAGATTGAATAATATAATTAAAAAATTTATATATTAGTAAAATTTTAATGGCACTTGTAAGACGCAATGGGCCCTATATTAATCACAAATATTTTTTTTAACTACAACCAGAACAAAACAAATCCATTTGGAAGAGCTGAAAATACTAAATAAACATAATTTTAATTGCGATAAAACTTCTCTAATACGTCACATGTCGTAGTTGTAATATATCAAAATATACTAAAATAACTCTTTTTTTGCAATTTTAATCGAAAATTTCTTGAAATTGTAACACAATAGATCAATTTGAGATCATATTC